CCCCCCCCCACACACATAATAAAATTAAAGATAGATTTTTTTTTCTTTTTTGGTGGAACCGGGGATTGAACTCAGGCCCTTGTGCTTGCCAGGGAAGTGCTTAATCCACTGAGCCATCTCCCCGGCCCCACATAATAAAATTAAAAAAAAAAAACAAAAAAAACAGCCTGGGGGCTGGGGAGATAGCTCAGTAGCATAAGTGCCTGCCTGCCAAGTTCAATCCCCGGTACCTCAAAAACAAACAGAACAAAACAAAACAGCCTGGGCTACATACTGAGTTCAATGCCAGCCTGAACTACAAGGTCTTTATTTTCTCCGGTGACAGGAAAATAAAGACCAGTCTGAGCAACACATAGAAGGACCTTATTTCAATCAGTTAGTCAACAATGTACCTCAATGATAAGAAATGAGGTCTTGATTTGCTTCAAAGTCATGATAAAGAGGGGGTAAGTATGTAGGAGAAACAAAACTGATCTTGAGCTGGTAACTTGAACCAAATGATTAGGACATAAGAGTTCATGATACTTATTCCTTTACTTTGGAATATGCTTGAGGCTTTTCCATGATAAATTAAAAAATAAATAAAAACAACTAGGTTTACCTAAAGTCATATCTAAAATGTACTGATAGGCCGGGGAGATGGCTCAGTGGAATAAGCGCTTCCCTGGCAAGTGCAAGGGTCTGAGTTCAGTCCCTGGTTCCACAAAAAAATAAAAAATAAAAAATAAAATAAAATGTACTGGTAAACTTAATTAAAAACAGTAAAAAATAAATTTACCTTAGGGAAAAAAAAAGCAAACAAATGATTTGAGTAATGAACATTACTAGCTGTAATTCAAATAAGGTAAAAATCATTAAGGTGGTATAGAAAGATAAGGCAAAAATTTTCTGGTGAAAAATGGAACTCCAAGGCTGGGGGAGTAGTGTCAGGAAAGGCATTTTTAGTAAAAACTCCCTCTTCCACAGCCTCAGATCTCAGGAGTTATTTTCCCTCTGCCTCTGCCCCTCAGAATGGATCACGTACTCAACCCAGGCTCCCTAGGTTCATGCCAGGCTTCTCTTACTACACCACAATCATAGGATTTGATGATCTCCCCTACTAGACTGTCAACCCTTGGGGGGCAGCCATCAAGCTGTGCATTATTGTATCCCAGGGCTTAAGGAAACATGAACATCTATAAACTGAAGAGATTAAGAAAAGGCTTCAAAACCTGCCTGCCCTGTTTCTGAGAACCAGGATTCTCTTTCTGCTCAGCCCAATCCCCAACACTTACCCGGTCAGAATCCTGAGGGCCTCCATGAGATGTTCCATCAGGGTTAAAGTGGTCCCCACAGCTAAGGAAGAAAGGCAACAGGTGGGCAACCAAACAGCAGCTCAAAGGCCAGCAGTCCAAGTCCAACCTCTTCTCTATTCATATTTTTATCAGCCAGCCAGCCAGCCAGCCATCCAACAGCCCTATTTCATGCCAGGCCTTGAGGAGGGACTCAAGAAGGATCAGATGTGGGTTAAGCTCTCAATGAATTTCTGGTATTGGAGAGGCTCACATGAGTAAACAACTAATGATATCATTGCAGGACAAAACCTTGACATGGGGATCCTTCCTTTCCTGTGTCCAGAAGTGTTCTTCTCTCTCAGAGACAGTTAGGTGGTTCCTAGCAGGAGCCTCAGAGTCAGACCTTAATTTGAATTCCCAGCTCTACCTTTTTTTTTTTTTTTTTTTGGTACCAGGGATTAACTCATGACCTTGTAATTGCCAGGCAGGTGCTTCTGCCACTGAGCTATCTCCCCAGCCCCAGCACTACCTTTTTATCTACTGGGGACTTTCATAAGTCATCTAACCTGTTTAAGCCTCAGTCTCCTCATCTGTAGATTGGGCTTGTGTTACACGCCTCCCATGTACTTGCAAGGACCATATGTAAAAGCATAAAGGTGCTCTGAGGAAGACTACAGATAACTTACCTGCTACAGTCCTTTGTGAGGTCCCCATATTGATGGACGTGGAGCCCATGCAAGCCAGGCTGCAGGCCGTCAATGGTTCCTTCGATGAGGCACTGCTCAGGGGTCAGCTGCAGGAAGCGCACCACCCCTTGCACAGGGCCAGGGCCCCCCAGAATGGCCACTGCTGCCCCCAGATTCTCTGCAAGGTATTGAAAATTAGCCTGGCTTACCACCTCAACCAACACTGTACCCCATTATCACCTCGGGAAATACAATGAAAGAGTCTCATATAACTTTCACCCCATTTCCAAAGCAGAGCCTAAGAATCTCATGGTTCGATTTGTACCAGCTCTAGGTCAATCCCTCCCAGACAGGTCAAGCCAAGGTCATGATGGTCACTTACGAAACTGGCTGCTGCCCATGCCCTTCAGTACAGCCTGACGCCCAGTGCCTTCCAGGAGTGCCTGCACCTCCTGGCTAGGCAGAGTGGTCTGCACTAAGACTGCCTGATTCTCCAGCTGCACCTCTACGTCCTGGACACCTGGGAGGAGAGAGAAGGCAAAGGCAGCAGAAGGTTGGCACCCAGTGCTGGCAACAAGGAAGACACAGAGCAGCTCCCAAAGCCCATTCCTGTTGGGAGCCATGGAAGCTAGAAATTGGTCAAATGTGTGAAAGCTGGACTAGGCCTCAGTGCCTGAAGCAGTAAAGCTACCTCATCCTGAGATAAGCATCCTGACTGATTAATGTCAGCTTTTAGTTACTAGGCTGCCTTATATTACGTGTTGCTAACTTTGTAAAGGCATAAATAAATGTCCCTACTGTTGTGCTAGGGGTCATCTCACCAACCAGGCAGATGGCCCACCACCTGACCTCGCTCTTGTCTTGTCTAGCTTTGTTTATTTATGCCTGCTGCTATTTCTCCCCAGGCATAACTGATCACACCAAGAGACCAACAGAGCCCTACATATTCCCACTCACCTTACAATGGCCAGTGATAAGGTAGAAGCTGCCTTCTAACTATGTGATCTTGAAACCTTTTAATGTCTTTTTTACATATAAAGTGAGGATAGGACTTTCATGATTTTCTTTCATAGCACACATTATTTATAACTGTGGGTTTTTTCCTTCTTCCAGTACTGGGGATTGAATGCATGACCTTCATATTGAACAAACATCCTCACATCCTCAGCCTTTTCTTTTTTGAGACAGGGACTTGCTGAATCACTTAAGTCACCCAGGCTGGGCCCAAATTTACAATTTTCCTCACTTTGTCTTCCAGAGTGTTGGGATTACAGGTGTGTACCACCAACCCTGGTTTATTTATAACTTTTGAGATACTGAAAAATCCTCTTAAAATGTTTTTATAAAATTGGGCTATCCAGGGGGCCAGGGAGTTAGCTCAGTAGAATAAGCGCTCCTGAGTTCAATCCCCAGTACTGGGGGAAAAAAAAAAAAAAAAAAAAAAAAAAAAATTGGGCTATCCATGGCAGCATTATTTTTATTTATTTATTTATTTATTTATTTATTTATTTATTTTGGTACTGGGGATCAAACTCAGGACCTTGTGCTTGCCAGGCAGGTGTGTATGCCATTGAGCTATCCACGCGGCCCATGGCAGCATTACTGATAAGAGCTGAAAGTTAAAAACCCAGAGGCTGATCAACTGATGACAGACAAGTAGTAGTATCCATATGATGGTCTGTTAGCCACAGAAATAAATGAAGCATGCATACATGCTACAATATGGATGAAGCCTGAAACAGTTATGTAAAAAAAGTTCACAAAAACCCACAAAAATGGGGCCAGGGAGATGGCTCAGTGGAATAAGCGCTTCCCTGGCAAGCACAAGGGCCTGAGTTCAATCCCCAGTTCCGCCAAAAATAAATAAATATTACATAAAGCTATTTATAGGAAATGTCCAGAACAGGCAAATCTATAGACAGAAAATAAATTAGGGTATGGGTGGAAGAAAAGGAAGGTAATAACTAAGGGATACAGGGTTTACAAAATGATAAAAATATAAAATTCATAGTGGTGATGGCTGTAAGACTGTGAATCCTCAAACTGCCATGAAGACTTTTTTTAATAATTTTTTTTTTTGTGTGTGTGTGTGTGGAACCAGGGATTGAACTCAGGGCCCTGGAGCTTGCCAGGGAAGTGTTTATTCCACTGAGCCATCTCCCCAGCCCCTTAATGTTCATTTTTTTTAGTACTTGTTTGTAGCACATAATGATTACCTTCCTTATGTGGATGTACATAACATCTTAGTTCTTTTTATATCCCCTTCTTCCTCCTCTGCCTCCACATGTATACTTTATGATTTTTAAAAATATTTACTCATTTGGTACAGGAACTTACTATGCAGCCTGGACTCACAGTGATCCTCCTGTCTCAGTCTTCCCTGTGCTTGGATTACAGGCATGTGCCACCACGCCCAGTTTCCATGGTCAGCATGGCATGCAGTACTAGGGATTGAACCTGGGTCCATAAGCCTACCAGGCAGCCATTTAGACCACAGAGCCATATGTATACTTTAAATGAGTTTTATGGTATGTAAATTGTATCTCAATAAAGCACATATGTGCACTGGGGGGTTTATCCCATCATCCTGAGAGCCAGCACTGTTTAAGAAAGTATGGCGGGTGTGGGGTGGGGGTCAGGCTGTTAGCTCAGCAGACTAAAGCGCCTGCTTAGGCAGAGGGCAGAGGCTGGGGTCCAATCCCCAGGGTGTCAGGCCGGCCCTGCCCCCGGGGGGTGGGGGGTTGCTGAGATGGGCAATTGAGACTGGGCATGGTGGTGCTCCTGTAATCCCAGCTCTTGGGAGGCTGAACATAGGCAGATCACTATGAGTCTGATCTATGTAGTGAGACCCTGTAGATCCTATAGTAAATACAAAAAAAAAAAAAAAAGAAAGAAAGAAAGTACTGGGTGGGTGGGGTGTGCGGTGAGATAGCTCAGCAGTCTAAGGTACCTGCTTAGGCTAGCTTAAGCAGGTGCAGGGGACTGTAGTTTGCCAGCCAGGCCCTCAGGGTGGGCTCAGCAAGCCAAAAAAAAAGTACCAGGGACCAGGCCCTCTTTGATGTGTTTTACCTGTACTGACTCATTTGATACTGTAACCCTGTGAGTTAGGTGCTATTACTTCTATCTTACAAGTGGGAGAACTGAGGCACAGAGTAATTAAGAAACTTGTTCCAAGTTATATTTTAGCAAGTTATATAACAGGAAACCTCAGGTAGCCTAGCTTCAGAGTGTAAGCACTTAATTCAGACATTCTGCTCACCCCAAGAAGCAGCCTTTTGCTTCTTAACTGCACCACGACACCACATACACACACTTACCCTATAGCAGCTCCCACATCCTGAGTGACCCGTTATGTATAGTCCTCTGTTTTACTCACTAGGCTGCTAGCTCTGTAAGAGCAGAACCTCCGTGTGGTCCACAATCCCCAAATCTATACAAGTCTGTGGGATGATTCTTACATATGTTTATGAAAAGACTCTCTGATGGGCACAGTGGTGTGCACCTATAATTCCAGCACTCAGAAGGCTGAAGCAGGAAGTGCATGAATGAGACTAGCCTTAGCTACATAGCGAGTTCAAAGTGAACCTGACCTACAGGAGAGACCCCATCTCAAAAAATATAATGAGCATAAAAATAAAGCTGGGATAGTATAATCTCAGTACTCTGAAAGGCTGAGGCAAGAGAACCAAAAGTTTGAGGTCAGCCTATGTAACTTAGTAAGATCCTGTCTCAAAAAAATAAAGAGGAAGCTAGGAAGATAGCTCAGTAGAGTAAGTGCTTGCGGAGAGGACCCAGGGCCGCGAGATCCTGAACAGACCCAGAGCGCAGGCCCGGTGAGTGAGCCAGATGACCGAGGGCCCTCCGGATCCTGAACAGACCCAGAGCGCAGGCCTGGCAACAGAAAGAAGTGGAGCACACAGCCAGAACCAAACAACACCCAACTGGAGGAATCTGAACTTCATAGATCTGGACCTGTTGCTAAGGTAATAACTCTATCTAAGCTCTACACCAAAGGTCAGAAGACAGTGGTATACAAAATGACAAAGAGAAGGAACCAAATGCAGTCTCAGGCCCCAAGTCCACCCAGTACAAATGCAGAAGACACTAGCACTGAGGAAACTGGAAATCACACACCAGATATCTCTGAAATAATAGCGTTGACAGTAAAGAATCAACTGCAGAAAAGTATAGAAGAAATCAGATCAGAAATAATTTCAGAACTAAAAAATGTAGTGGTAACTATAATCAAAGAAGTACTAAGTGCTTCTAAAGAATACACTGATAAAAAAATAGAGGAGAATAAAAAAATGATGGAACCCTTGAATAAACAATTTAGGAAAGAAACAGAATCTATGAAACAGGTTCAAAGTGATATACAGGAAATTAAAATCTCAATCACAAACTGGCAAAACCGTTTGTGTGAAAGTGAAAATAGACTTTCTGACCTGAAAGACACCATTGCAGCTAGTGAAAAAGTAAGAAAAGGTCTCTTTAAAACAACTAGGATGCAGGAAAAAATAATTCAATACCTGCAAGATGATGCAAAAATGAACAATGTGAGACTAATAGGCATCAATGAGAAAGAAGGAGTCAATACAAATGATATAAAAAGAATATGGGCAGAAGTAATAGCAGAAAACTTCCCAAATATGGGGCAACAATCTGACCTTCCTGTAACTGAAGCATACAGAACTCCAAATAGTATCAATCCAATGAAAACCACACCCAGACTCATAATAATCAAGATTCCAGAAATTCAGCATAGGAACAGTATACTAAAAGCCGCTAAAGAAAAGAAACAGATCACATTTAAAGGAAAACCCATCAGAATAACGGCAGATTTTTCTTCACAAACCATCAAGTCAAGAAGAGCATGGAGCAAAGTACTTCAAGTCTTGCAAGAAAACAAATTCCAACCCAGACTGATCTATCCTGCAAAACTCTCTTTCAAATATAATGGAGAAGTGAAATATTTTCATGACAAAGAACAACTAAAGAATTTCATGATGACAAAGCCAAGCCTACACAGACTACTAAATGAGGTTCTAGAGAGGGAGCAAATTGATCACAGCCCCATGAATGAGAATGGAAAGAACCCGCCAAATAAGGCAAACAGCGGAGAATAAGAGGTATACAATAGTAGTCTTTTAGTTATTCTTTTGTGTTCAGCAGCAGAATATTTTCATCAGCACACTCTACAAATGGACTTCACTTCCACCCTATGAGTCATGATTCCACCTGAGTCTACAGGGTGGATTTCAAAGAAATAGCTGTAGCTCAGTCCCACAAGTGACACCTGGCCACCAGTAACTGTCACAGTCATTATGCATGTCCACAACACACTAGAACTTTGTGCGATATCCTATCCTCAAACTGTTAGAAGTGCTGGTCATTTACTTGCCATTCCAGTATTTATCTTATGTTTTACTCTTAGTACTTCTTTGCTATCATGAAAACTTTTTCTTATTTCAATTGTTTTGAAACATTTAATTTTCTGAATATTGCTTAATCTTAATTTTTGTTCTAAGATTTATACTGTATCTTTGACTTATAATTTATTTAAAAGACATTGTATGATATCTTTTCCTAGTATTAGAAACTTTAAAAAGTATATTTCCATTTTCTGTTGACTTAAAAAAAATAAATAAAGGTAGCAGTTTGAAACAAAAAAAAAAAAAAGAATAAGCGCTTGCCTGGCAAGCGCAGGGCCCTGAGTTCAATCCCCTGTACCGCAAAATAAATAAATAAGTAAAGAGAAATGGGGATGAAGATCAGTGCCAACGCCCTGGTTTTGAGCCCCAGAATTAAAAAATAAAATAAAACCTCACATAATTAAAGCCATGATAGTTGAAGTATGACTTTAAAAAAAGCTTTTATATGACAAAGCTAATAGAGGGGAACTGAGGCAACAGGGAGACCAGGAAGAGACAAGAGGGCAGGTCTGAATATATTTTGCGCACATAGCAGATAAGGTTTCCTGATGGTCTGCTCTTAGCCAAGGTGGGTTTCCAGTACTTGGGGGTCTACCAAGAAGGGCTAAGTCTCTGCTCCTGAAGTGGGAAGGTTCGAAGTGGGGAGCACTTTGTAACTATGCCCAGGCTAAATTCCTAATCTGCTTCTCAGATGGTTTCTCAGTGAAGCAGATCAATCATTTTGCTGGTAAACACCTCTGCTTATGGCCAAGCCAGGATTTGGTTAGTTCAGGGCCTGATGAGAGAGGCCAGGTCCAGGCATGGTGCATGCCTGTAATCCCAGCACTTGGAAGGTTGAGGCAGGAGGATCACTGCGAGTTCAAGACCAGCCTGGGCTACAGAGTAAGCTCAAGGGGCTGACGAGATAGCTCAGTGGACTAAGCACCTGCTTTGGCAAGCACAGGGACCAGGGTTCTATCCCCAGTCCTGCATGCTGCACCAGCCCTGCCCCTGGGGCACGCTGAGCCAGCGAATGAGTCCAGGCGTGGTGGCCTACACCTGTAATCCCAGTGCTGGGGAGGCTGAAAACAGGAGGATCACTGACTCCAAGCTGTGTGAGGATCACCGAGTCCAAGCTGTGTGGTGGGACCCTATACCAAATAAATAAATGAAAAAAAAAAAAAAAAAAAAGTGAGCCTAGGCCAGCCTGAACTGTATAGCAAGACCTATCTCAAAAAGATAAAAAAAAAAAAAAAAAAACCTGCCAAGCACCAAGGTTTGATTCTTGGTACAAAGATAAATAAATAGGGCTGAGGCGATAACTCAGCAGTCTAAACACCTGCCTGGCAAGTATAAGGATCAAAGTTTAATTCCCAGTACCACATACCACGCCTGTCTAAAAATCAGACATGGTGGCACATGAGCTGCATAGTAAGAGACTTTGTATCAAATAAATAAAATATAAATATAAATAAATAAATAAAAAGAAGGAGAAGGAGAAGACAAGAGGCCGAAGGAACTGCAGGGTGACTGACAAGGGTGCAGGTGAGTGAACCTGGATCTGGGAGCTTCTCTAATTCACTCCAAAGGGATTAAAGATCTTTTTCCCAAGGCCCAGGCATTTCTCTCTGTGTACCTTCTAGAAACTGTGACTTACCTGCCCAGTCTCTGTGCGACTCTGAAAACAGTTCTTTCATTCTCTGGGTATCAGTTTCTAGGTGTGTAAAATGGTTATAGAGCTAGACTAAGATTGTCATGGTCTTTCCCAGAGGTCTCTGAACAGGACGCAGAAAGACAAAGCCAAGCTGGTTCCAGTGACCCAGACTAGAAAACAGTCACCCAAAGTATTTCTGGTGAGGAAACCTGCTGAGGGGCTGAAAACTGCCCGACATCCAACAAAAACTGCATCTGCCTGCTGTCCCAGCAGGAATGTTTTACCAGAAAAGCTTTAATTAGAACAGTCCACTCTAAGCAAAATGGCTCCATCTCCATCCAACCCCTCTACCCACCACTCTGAAACACATTGTCTAAACAAATGCCACTTCAAGATCTGTCCCCTCACACTTCCCTTCAAGCAGATCACCTGTAAGCCCTTCCTCTGTTCTTTCTCTGAGATGTACTGGGCTCATACTACAAATCCAAGACTCTACTAAAGTACTTTATACAAGTTAACAAATGTGTTCTACAGGACAACCCTCCAGGTTTCTATGTGACTCCAGGGAAGCTATTATCTATTTATTTATTTATTTATAATTTTTTTTTTGCAGAACCAGGGATTGAACTCAGGCCCTTGCGCTTGCCAGGGAAGCACTTATTCTACTGAGCCATCTCCTCAGCCCCAGGGAAGCTATTATCATTCCCATTCAAACCACAGAAACAGCTGGGCGTGGTAGTGTATGCCTGAAGCAAGAAAGATTGCCCTGAGTTCAAGGTGGACTGAGTTCAAGATCAGCTGGGGTTACATACTGAAACGCCTTCTAAAAAAAATAAAAATAATTAAACTGCAGAAACAGAGGTAAAAAAGGTAATATTCATGCAGTTTTTGTTCCAGTGAGTGGAAAATTAGATAGTTTGAATCCCAACAGATCTGACTCCAGGATGCAGCTGTCAAACCATCCATGAAGTGTTCTGTGAATGCCAGCTGGGTGACTCTTGCATGTACATCTTGTCCTGGGTACAAGGGTGAACTTTCTCCCTAAAGAGCCCCCCGTCTCTGACCCATATCTGCTGAGTGACTAGATAAACATGTAGCAGTACTGAAGTTACCAGTTCTCAGTGCCATGCCAATAGCTCTACCTTTCAGATCTTACCTATTGTGCCACATCCCTACATACCTACATGTCTTTTAAGAACCAGAAACTACCTAAGCTGAACCACGACCAGAGTTGTTTGCTTTGTCAAGATTATGTCGTTTCCCAATGAAGAACACTGTGTTCCACAGAACTTTGACCAGCTTCTCACTTTCCAAGGCACCTGCAGTGCAGGCCAGAACAGGGACAGGCAGAACCCATAGAGGGCTCTGGCTGGGCAAGCTTGCTACTTGCACTCTAGGCCTTGCTTCTAAATCTCTGTGCGACTCTGAAAACAGACCTTTTTCACTCTCTGGGTATCGGTTTCTACGTGTGCAAGACGATTGTAGAGGCAGACTGAGATGGTCATGGTCTTTCCCAGAGGTCTCTGGGAAACGTTAATTCTGCTCTCACCTGTCACCCCTTGTAGGGATTTGAGCACCGCGTCCACGCAGCTCTGACAGGTCATCTGCACAGCGAACTCCAGCTGCAAAGGGCGGTAGAGAAGGCCGTTGAGGGCTTGGGGTCTTGTCTGATGCGATCAATCCAAAGCCTGGGACTCGCCTATGTGACCTCTCTTCAAGTCCCTTCTTCATTCCCTCTCATGACTACATTTTTCTGGGACCGTAGTTTCATTCCCATCCATCCCCCACTCTCACGTCAAGGCTCCTGCTGCCTGAGCTCCCCAACTTCACACCGCTGTCCCGGTCCCCGCCCCAGGTGGCCACTTCTTCCCAAGATAACAATCATCCCAAGGGTGGGGGCTGTGCTCGGCGAGGCTCCACACGAAACCTCCATTCTCACCGTGCACAAGGCCCCGCGCTCCCTTGAATCCGAAGCCATCCTAGACCAGTTCACCAGTCCGCGAAACACAATTGCAAGAGTACAAGGTACAACCTAGAGCGCAGCCGCTGGGCAGACTCAGCCTAGAAGACCTCCCTTTGCCCCGCCCCCTGGCGCGTGCGCAGACTTCTACGGTACGACGGACAAAAGTTGCGCAAGCGCACTCGGGTTGCAGGCCCTGGTTGCCTTAGCAACCGTTTGGCGTCCTTTGCCCAAGGGGCTGGCTTGGAGTGCGCCAAGATGGAGGATCAGAATCCTGGGCCTGAGCTTCAAAGGTTTTATCACCAGTTGCTGAGTCCTCTATCTCTTTTCCCGCGCCGGGCGACGCCACCAGAGCCTCAGAAGCACCGCCCAGAGGAGGTCTTGAGATGGCAGACCATATCGCTCGCTAAGCTGAGGGTGGCTTCACTGTGCAATCAAGTGGCCAAGCTACTGGCTAGTAGCGGGCTGACGGCGCAGGTGGCTCCCAAGGAGCGACTCCGTCTCACCGAAGTCATCTTGAACGAGTTGAAATGCAGCTGGCAGGAACCTCCTTTGGAACCTAGTCTTAGCTATGGGGACAACCAGAAGCTGAGGAAGCGGCTCGAGACCTACGTGCTGCTCAGCAGTGAGCAGCTCTTCTTACGCTACTTGCACCTGCTGGTGACCATGTCGACCTCCAGGGGAGTCTTCACAGAGTCAGCCATCCTCACTCGGTTGGCTGCCAGCCTTGCCAGGGATTGTACAGTATTTCTTACCAGTCCCAACGTCTACCGTTGCCTGCTCAACGATTTCCAGGCTCTGCTGGAGATAGAACAGACCCATGGCAAAGTGAACAAGCTACGCCCCATCTGCCCCTCTGGGACTTTCAAATTATGTCCCATCCCCTGGCCTCATAGCACTGGCTTTGGCCAAGTGCCGTGCTCTAACCTCAATCTGAACTACCTCATCCACCTTAGCCGCCCACCAGAGTTTCTCAGGGAGCCTGAACTGGATCCAGTAACAGAGTTAAAGTCCATCCTTCAGTTGAAGAGTAAAAAGCATCTTCACTGGCTGCCCTCCATAAGAAAGGAAAGAGAAAGCGACTTGGGTTCATCACAGATGCTGCCACTACCCAGTCACTCTCTGACTCCCACCAGGGCCATTTCCCCTCTTCCCTTCCCTCTCTATTCTAGGCTCCAGAGAGGCCAGTCCATGCCTTCCCTTCGTGAAGGCTGGATGCTGGCTGATGAGCTGGGCCTTCCTGTACTCTCCACCCGCCCTTTGACCCCATTGATTTTGGCTCCAGAGAGCAAACCAGAGCTGACTAGGGACACTGTGGCCGAGGATCTGAAACAAAAGATGAAGAACATGAACTGGGAGTGGACTCACTACTCACCATTGGACACGGGGCTTCCCCGACTCCTGGGGGCGGTGACCTACCGCTCAGCTGCTGGACATCGCATGGTAGAGCTGCAGAAAATGTTGAAGAGGCTCCGGGAGGAAGAAGTCTCTGGGCAGTGGGACCTTCAGCCCTCCAGATCACCTCCATTACAACCACAGCCAGTGACCGTTACTTTGAAGCTAAGAAATCAGGCTGTGGTCCAAGCAGCTGCTGTGCAGCTCTCTGATAGAAACTTTTTGGACTCTTTCCATGTTGAGGGGGCTGGAGTCCTATATAACCACCTAGCTGGTGAACTGGACTCCAAAGCTATTGAAGAAATGGATGTTGATTACTATGTTGCCAATAACATTAAGGAGGTCTACAAGGAGTTGATGAGCTGTGTCTCTACTAACCACCTCAGTTTTGACCAAGAACATCTAGTTGAAGCTTCAGCGGAGAAAGATTGGTCAGCTTTCCTGTCTTCAGCTTTTCTACGCCAAGAAAAAAAGTTTCAGACTATCAACCCTGACCTGGTTGGACTTTACTCCCAGAAAACAAACACTTTGGAGTCTAACCCTGAGAAGATAGCTTCTCTCACATCACCTCAAGCAACAAAAGCCTGGGAGAAGCGGTCAAATAAGGCCTCCTGGGTGAGCTGGTGGAAAAACACCTTATCTGTGAATGACTACTTCAAGTACCTCACAAACCAGGAAACAGATTTCCTCCATGTAATTTTCCAAATGTATGGAGAGGAGGCTCCTGTAGAAGTATCAGCCCCTGTCAAAGAGACTATAGAGATTCAGCATCCTCCTCCCTTGACAGAAGATGAAGAACCAGACTTTGTGCCAGGAGAGTGGGATTGGAACACAGTGCTACAGCACAGGCTACTAGCTGGAAGGCCCAATATCCTGAGCCTGCAGAAGCATCTGGAAAGATTGTGGTCTATGCTGGAGGTTCCCAACAAGATCCGACTGGACATGGTCATTAAGTACAGCTCTAATGCCCACCTACAGCAACTACCATCACTAGTGAAGGCTTGGGAACAGGCTGCAAAGTCCATTCAGCTGCGGGAAGCATTGCTGGGGAGACTCGAGGGGTTTGAGCAACAAGCCTCCGATCCCAACCGTTTCTTCCAAAAGACTCCCTTTGACCTAAGTCATCTCCTAGAGCAAGAACAGTTCCGCAGCTATATCCAAAAGCAGCTCAATCAAATGGAGCCTTCTTTGGTTTCCCTTCTAGAGGAGATTGAGCTAATCTTTGGTGAGCCAGTGACCTTCAAGGGCCGGCGCTACCTGGACAAGATGAAGCGGGACAAAGTGGAGATGCTGTATTGGCTCCAACAGCGTCGCAGGCTTCAAAACCTGATCCAGGCCCCAAAGACCTCCCTCCAATCAGCTCTGTTCAGGAATAACAGCAGCCGGCCTTTAATTGCTCCGGGAAATAGTCCAACCAGCCTTTAACCAAACCCAGTATCCTTAAATCCCTCTCTCCTAAACACCCATTTATGAGTGTACAACTTGGCACAATATAACTAAAAATCTCATATCTAAAGAACTGAGATGGTACCTCAAAGTTTATTGTAATGGAAAGGCCGAAAAGAAGGAAATCATGATGTTTGGAAAAATCCCATTTATCATTCTTATCTCATAGCATTAATTGATGGTTAGAGACCCCAATCAAAAGGTTCAGTGGCAGAATAGTTAAAAGCTAGGGCTCCAGAGTTAGTAGGTATGGGTTCAAATCCTGGCCATGCAATCTTGGGCAAGTTACCTAACTTTTCTGCCCTTGAACAATCATCTGTAAAATGGAAGAGATGAGTTTAGGTCGTCACTTCTTCCAGTTTTGTGCACTATTGATATGGCTGAAGTTTTTAACTAAATTTTTACATTTAAGCTAGGCTTGAGACCCTGTGCTTCCCCCCCCAAAAAAAGCCAAAACAAAACAAAAAATAAACTTGATGCAATGATCCTATACTGTGCTTGCTCTTGTCACGGGATTGCCCCATGTTACCACTGGCTTGGGGACTCTGAGGCTAGCTCTATGTAGTATTGTACACAGCTTAGGCATTGTTAAAAGGATGTGTGCTTCTTCCTAGTTGGCAGCTATTGTAAGATTGGGACAACTTTTTTTTTTTTTTTTTTTTTTTTTTTTTTGTTTTTTTTTTTTTTTTTTTTTTTTTTTTCAGAACTGGGGATTGAACTGCATTTGCCAGTCAAGTGCTTATCCTACTGAGCCATCTCCCCGGCCCCTAGGGACAACTTCTTAGAGCCCACTTAAACTGTTAAATGTCAAAGCATTCCATCGTATTCCAATGAATATCCAAGCTCATTTTTAATAGTCTCAGTAGGTTTCAAAAAGGGTAATATTCCATTAATAACAAGTCTCACCGCAATTGTACAGTTTAAACATTGCCTAAAATATCCTCTGATTGTGTTAAAAGTGGTCATATCAGCAAAAGTAACCATCATATAAATTTGCTCAGCTACTTCTTTACTGAGAAAACTGAAGTTGATGTTTATTATTCCAAACATGAATAGAACTGCCAATGGGTGATTATTGAGTCAATTGGCAATGGGCCAGCAGCATAACCAATGAAGAAGTTTGCTGAGCTTTTGGGTGTCAGCAGCCAGAGAATATAAATACAGTGAATGATTTTTTTTCCCAGACTTTGTCTATATTGCTTAGTTTTGCATATAACCCAACAGTGACATGGAATAAACTCCTACCTAAACTCATAAATTGATGTAATTTCTATTGAAATCAGTTCTGAGTCTGTATCCTTCATGTTGGTTAGCTATAGAGTGGTGGCTGTTATAGCTATAGTTTTTGCAATTTCAATCATTTTTCAGCAGGCAGTTTGCTTTGATACCTACAAAGCTTATATGGCTTCATAGATCCCTTGAAAAGAATACATAGGAAAGCAAGCCTGGAATCCCTTCACTGAACTTCCAGTGCCATTCTGGAGTTTCATCTTTTTTGCAGGGTAGGGTGTTGTGGTGGTAGTAGGAATTGAGCCCAGAGCCTTCATGCTGCGCTAACCTTTTAACACTTTTTATTTTGATACAGGGTCTCACTAAATTGCTAAATTGCCTAGGATGGGCTAGAACATACAGTTCTTCTGCATTAGCCTCCCAGAGTGCCAGGATTGTAGGTGTATGCCACCATGCCTGGCTGGAGTCTCATAATTTCATCTTTTATTTTCAGATTACCTAATGCCTGGCCCTTCCAGGTCTAACTCACACACACTGAGAGGATGAAGCAGGAGGATAAGATGATTTCAGCCTGGACAGTTTAACAACTTTGTGAGATCTTATCTCAAAAATAAAGAAGAGCTGGAGATGCAGCTCAGTTTGTTGTTGTTGGTGGTGGTGGTGGTGGGTTTTTTTGGTTTTTTTTTTAAGTCTCATTCCACAGATGTATTATTAATTTGACCCTGGGACCCACCAGGTCTCCCCTGGACAGAACCAGACCCAGCCCACCAGCCAGTGATCCGCGGCTCAACTCAAGATGAAGCAGCCCACTGTGCCAAGGATAGGCCCAGCTGCATGGGGTCTGGAGAGAACGCGGCGCCTATCCCACACAGTGTGTGGCTCAGTTTGAAGCCCTGAGTTCAATTCACAGTGCCACAAAAACAAAGATTATATTTTCTAAAGCAAACATAAGAAAAGGATGACTGTCTTACACTTCTGCAAACCTTTTCAAAGTCTAGTTTAATAAAAGGCAGTGGTTCTCATATCTGCTTTTACATGCAACCTAATGTAATATCACACATATACCCTCTGGGAAACATTCTACACTTGGGGAAAAGGCTGTATTTTAGCCTTATTGTGAAAATACCTTTGACCTCATAAAATCCAGAAAGGGACTAGAGAACCCTTTTCATGTTTTTGTTTTTGTTTTTCTAAAAACAAAGCAACAGGGATGAGAGCAAAGGTAGAAGTGAGGGTTCTGGTTGAGGTACTGAAATAAGATAGGACAGGGTCATTAGGAGAGGAGGAAGGGTGGCTGCCTAGGAAAGCTTGTTCAATTACAGAGTTCAAGGGCAAGCCAAAGGTAGAAGCACAACTTAGAAAAACAGTGGATGCCTGCCGGCCCTGGCAAAAAACAGTGGCTAATTCTGCCAAATGGTTATCTAGCTGCTAGTCAAGCAGACTGGCTGTGATGATCTGGCTGCTCTGGGAAGCTGAGACACAGAGCTAAAACCAAATACCAAAGGGCACACAGGTGCTCCTGGGGCGGGTGGAGCCCAGGTGTATTGAATCACCTAAACCACTAAGCTCACAGGCCTCACCCCCTCCTGCCCCAGGGTTTTGTTAGTCTACTTTTATTTTGTACTATCATCTTCCTTAAATTGACCCACTTGTTGTTTTTTTAAATGTATTTAGTACAGGGTCTACAGGGTCTCACTGCACAGATCGGACTCATAGTGATCCTGTTTTCAGCTTCCCAAATACTGGGATTACAGGTGCGTGCCACCATGCCCAGTCTCAGTTGCCTCTCAGCACACCCTGGGGATGGCCCCATCCCCTAGCACTTGCCTAAGCAGGCGCTTTAGTCTGCTGAGGTATCTGGCTGGCCCACTAAATCAACCCACCTTTAAACTTATTTATGGGGCCGGGGAGATAGCTCAGTAGAATAAGCGTTTGTCTGGCAAACGCAAGAGCCTGAGTTCAATCCCCAGTTCCGGGAAAAAAAAAACCCAAAAAACCTTACTTAAACAGGAGATTGTACCCTTCATAATTGTGTACACCTCATAATCTCAGCACTCAAGCAGCCTGAAACAGGAAGACTGCAAGTTTGAGCTCAGCCTGGCCAATTTAATGACTGAGCAAGATCCTATCTCAGAATAAAAAATAAAGCCAAGCATATTGGCATATGCCTGAATATCTGTAATCTCAGCAATCAAGTAGACTGAGACAGGAGGATCGCTGCAAATTGAAGGCCAGCCTGGGCTACAAAGTGAGTTAAAGGAGTCTGAACTATAAGACTGTCTCAGGAAACAAATCAAATTAATTATCTAATTTATTTAATTATTTTTTTGTATTTTAGGGAAGGGTCTACAAGGGTGTTCAGGGTCTCACTACTAGATCAGACTCATAGTGATCCGCCTGTTTACAGCCTCCCACGAGCTGGGATTACAGGCGCGTGCCACCATGCCCAATCTCAATTGTCTCAGCTAGCCCTGGGGGCGGAGCCAGAACGGCAGGCCCAGGGATCAAACCCCCTCTGCCCCAACCCCTGCCCCTGCTTGCAGGTGCTTTAATCCGCTGAGCTATTTGACCGGCCCTAATTACCTAATTTAAAAGGCCTAACTAAGGGTGTGGCTCAGTGTGAAGACCCTCGAGTCAATCCCCAGTAACAATGGAATTTTTTAAAAACATGTTTGCTCCTACTTATGTAGTGATTATTGTTAGGTCTCTAAACACCTTCCATGCAGTAATTCATCCAATACTCCTGACAATACAATGATGTAGGTACTATTATTATTTCAAGGTCCGGATAAAGAAACACAGGCATAGGTTCGTTCTATAACTTGCTTACAGTCACACACCTTGGAATGTGGCAGTCTAGATTTAGACCCTAATGGTCAGGCTCTAATTCCAAGCTCTCAACCACTACACTGTCACTTAATGTAAATATGGAAAGCACCCAGTTGAGGCCCATTGAAAGAAGCACAAAATGATCAGATTTTCAGCTTTCACTGTTGTCCCCATGGGAAGGAAATCAGGCTTTCTCCCAGCCAGTTTGATTCCCAGCAATGACTGAGGCTCACATCATTCCTTTTTCATGTTCATGTACATTCATCAAGCTCCTCCTGAGAGACAGCCGGATGCTTTCATCTAAATATGGGAAAGAGATAAAAGAAAGCCAGGGAGACCCAGTCCCTGTTGTCAAAAAGTTTAAGGTTTAGTGAGAAAGATAATTTCAATACTACATCAACCAAAGGCCACAGTAGGTGCCCACTAAGAGGACATTCAATAGAGCCTAGAGGTGGGGAACATTGGTAATGGAGAATTTCCCAGAGGAGCTGCTGCCCAAGTGGAGTGTGGATTCTAGAAGGTTGAGCTGGAATTATGAGGCTATTCTTAGCAAAGGAAAAATACTCATCTGAGAACTAAAATATCTGTCAGGATCATCTGCTTAACATTTCAGCCAAAGCTATGCTTTTTTTAAAAAAGCCATTACTTGCTAAATACAAAGTTCACTCAATACCATTACGGTATATCCTGGTCAGGTGGTTGAAGACCCAGATTTCCCATTCATCATTGTCTCAGTGACCTTGGGCAAGGGATTCTAGCTCCTTTTCATATGTGCATCACTTTTTTCCCCCAACAGTTGGGGATGGAACCCAGCAATTCGACCATACTAGTTAAACTGTACCACTGCTCTCTCTCCAGCCCCATGCAGCATATATTTGATGAATGCACTACTGGGGTCTGGCACTACACTAGGCACTGAG